TTTGTTCCATAAAGCACAATTGAAAAATATTATATGACAATGCTGTAGCTGAGGAAAAAAAGCAAAAATCAGTTCAGTATTAAGAGCTTAAGTGGTCCTGCCTATCCCTAAAAGGAGGGGTGAGGGTATGATTTGAACAATCTTGAGTTGAATCTACACTAAGGATATACATAAATATATATACCGGTATAATATTATTCTTTGACTAACTGTGGCAATTGAATTATCTTATCTGTTTAAACTTTCACTGTGGTGCCCCCCCCCCCCACACACACACACATCTACACAATCTGTGGATATTTCTGATTATATACCGTATGAGCCGAATTTTTAGCAAGGATTTAATTTTGGTGTTATAAGCAAACATAATACAATACCATATTTTAATGACTAATCGTTAAATTTGTCTCACTAAAATTGTCCCTTATATGGTACTATACAATCATAGCTTTGTTGTTTCTGAAAAAAGAAATTTGTCTGTATACCTATATGAGACATTAATCATCGATTTTGGTCTCATCCTAGGATTTCCTTTTGGTCTCATCCTAGGATTTGAAAAAAAAAATGAATCTACACTCAACTAATGACTACCTGAGAATGATTACACACGAGTTTCATCTTTCCCTGTCTAAGGGTTCTTAAAAAGAAGACTTAAAAAATGCTATTATTTTTTCGCTAACTTGTTTAAATTATTTCCCCTTGGAAGAGGATGTAGACATTAATTTGAAGGAATAAAAAAGCTTGAAACCCCTTTAGCCAATACTTTGTAATAATCTTTGTTCTGGAGGAGAAAGTGTGTGAAAAACAATATAAAAAGACAAGTACAGTGTAGATGCATACTCTGATAACAGAAAAAAATGGTAAAAAACCCATCTAAATTGAGCCTTCCAGCCATGTGCTCTGAAAACTTTTTTAATATATAGATAAAGATGGGAGGTCTTTAAATACAGATATACAAATCGTTATTTTACAGATTGCGAGGCATTTGGACAGTACCAAAATTGCAAAAAATTTATGCTTTGAAATATTTTTTTAAAGAAGTAGTCTCATATTTGCAATGATGTGTGGACACAAATTTTCATAATTTCTCACTCAATTTGTTTGCACATTAAAATTGACATTTTGGCTCCTCCCTACCATGGCAGTCATTACTTAAAAAACACTTGAACATACACTATATGAGGATCCTTCTATATGATATATAAAAAATATTTTTCATATAACCATATAGAAGTATCCTCATATAGTAGTCACATACACTTTACTTGACTTTTTATATTGTTGTTCACGTTTAATTACACTTTCACAAAGGAGCTAATTTAACAACTGTATATTATATATAGCGTTATGGTTTTATATATTTCTCTTTGAAAATAACGCTACAGATCCAGTAATGCAAAAAAGTTGCAATTTACAGCGCATTTACACCCCCTAGTCTAGTGACATTTTGTTGCCAATATAAATTATCCACCTCTCAAGCATTTATAGTTGTCTCTACAGACAAACAAGAGGCCCATGGGCCACATCGCTCACCTGAGCACTGTGGCTAGGAAAAAGTAGAAATTGGTTTATTATTGAAAAGTTTAAATCCAAAAGTAGTCCCATGACCAATCATAGCTTTGCAATTCTTGAAGAGATGATTTTTAAAGAATTTTCTTATATATGTCTATGTAAAACTTTGATCAGCCATTGTGGCCCCGCCCTACCCCTGGGGGTCATGATTTGAATAAACTTGAATCTACACTACCTGAGGAGGCTTCCATATAAGTTTTATCTTTTCTGGCACAGTGGTTCTTGAGAAGAAGATTTTTAAAGAATTTTCCTATATATTTCTATGTAAAACTTTGGTCAGCCATTTTGGCCCCACCTTAAAAAAGACAAACATTTGTTGTACCTGAATGAATGAAAAAGGTTAGAACTTACCAGTGAATAATATGACAGTAAATTTAGTTTGGAGTAAATCAGCTGTTTGCAAGATATTTCTCTAGGAAATGATTATTTTCTTTCTGAATGAAATGAGCTAAGTTCTAAATTGGCAGAAGAGGTAGCTAGCATATCACTGTTTTGATATTTACATAGATTAATAAACCAGAGAAATTAAATTTAAAAGGGCTACTTGATTGCATGTTTGAGATATTACAAGGTATAACTCATATGTGGGATTTAGATTTACATTCAGCAAAATTCCATTATCTCAATGGGACCAAGAAGACATGGAATTGATATCTGAGGGTTCAAGATTCTAAAATAGAGATCACATTAACCTGCTGTGAAATCCAACGCACCTGCCCATGCAATTGTTCAAATGATTAACAAATACAACTAAAAATTTTTTATGCCCCAGTAATCGAAGATTTCAAGGCATATAGTTTTTTCCCTGTCCATCCGACTGTCTGTTTGTCTGTAGAAAGTTTAACCTTGTCCATAACTTTTGAGTGGGTGAAGCTATGGCTTTTATATTTCACATATGCATTACTTGTGACAAGACCTTCCTTTTGATACCAGCAATTGTGACCTTTTGACCTTGAGCTTGGAGTTTAAGTTTCATTTGAGAAAATCCAACCTTTGCCATAAGCTGCCCCATGGGGGCATCAGTGTTTCATAAACACATCTTGTTTTCACTGAAAAATTAAAATACCCCATTAGAGAATAAGATCAATTTTGATTAAGTACACAAGTAATCACTTAAGAATGTAACTTCATTGTTGATTTCATTTCAAAATGCATTACTACTACCGGTATGTTAATTACATGTAAGAGACAAAGTTTACAACTTTTAAGTTGAAATGATTGAAATCTAATTATTTAAGGGATTTTGATAAGATGTCGGTTAGGTTTCTAAGAATTGAGTTTTTTTCTTCCATGTTTTTCACTTTGTTCTCTCTGAATTTCTTCATTTCCTCCTGCTCCTTATTCCGCTCCTCCCTCTGCTCCTTTGAATAGTCTACAAACCATCCGGGCATTTGTTTACTGGTCTTCTTTTGTATTTTTTGTGCCTGTTTCTGGACATGTCACTGTTGTATCCTCCTTCCTCTTAGGGGTTGACGCTGTTGATTGACCATTATCTGAATAGAGTAAACAATAAGTTGCATGTTCTTAACTTCATGTGTAATGTAACTAATATCATTTTTTTGAGTGTCATTGGGATAAGATATGACATGACATGAAGTTGGTCACATGATCAAATTTTGTAATGTCAAAACTACTCTATAAAACAGTAGAAAAAAAAATTAAACTCTTGACGAAATGATATAACAAATTTTCACATGAACTGCTGATAGCTGCAGGTTCAGTTGATCTGTCTCTGTGCAGTATTTCATTCATTTTGTCAAAGTAAACCCAGGATGTCCTCCCTGCTCCGGATTTCCCCATGTTGTCTTTGATTGATCTGTAGCTATAACACAATAACTTTTATGAAATAAATAAGGAGATAAAAATAACTTTACAGTATTTTAAAAATTTCTTTTAAAATTGGATATAAAGCAATATATGTAACAATTATGATAAAATTTGCATAACTGTATTTAAATTTGTTGTTGCTTTTACAAGCTATAATTGAAATCTTAAATTTTTTTTTTTTCAAATTATCTAATGCACAACTTTAGCAAATAAAATTTTGATATTAGACATTGATTGTACATTTTTTTTTTGTTCATTTTCGTTTAAATGTCAAATACATGTAGTAACTTTAAAATCAATGTTCCTCCACCAAAAAATCATAAGAAAAGGAAAACTGAAAAGAAGAGAAACCACCAACAGGGTTACAAATATTTGGGTAGTGATGGGAATCGAACCCACGTCAATGACTATCCTTACACTACCTACTTGGATTTTTAAGCTATACAGTATAAGTATTATATGAAGAATGAAAATATGGATCTGCATGGGATATTTTCCCATTCATCATAAAATAAATTTGAAAAAAAATCTCTTCCTTCCTGGAAGAACTTTTTAAAAATTATAATCTTAGCATTCAAATGACTCTGAAAAAAACTCGAAATCCTCCTTCCTTATATGAACTTCTGAGAGGAGAGCCAATGTCTCTTCTTGACTCCACTGCGACTGAACTTCTGAAAACATATAAAACACTCAAAACAAAATAAATAAGAATTTATAATTTTGGTTAAAGACACTTACTTGATTTCTCCTCCACTGATTCAGCTCTTTCTGTAGAACTGCTGCTCTTTTCTAGATAAAAAAAAAACTTAATACATCAAGTTTTCAATACTTAATAAGTTACCTTTGATGTTTCCTGTAGTAAATAGATAATTGCCTCTGCTTTCCTTTTCTCTAGGGGGTGTCTCATCTATGTTTTAACAAAATGAACATATTAGAACCATTTAACGCTTAGTTTGGACTTTCAGTATGGTGTGGCCTTCTTGGTGTTACATAATTAGCTTCTGAAATTTAAACAACACTCTTGAAATATATGTGGAATAGAAATTTGGGTAAATACCAATTAGTGTATTGAATAAAAAAACACCAATTACATTATCTCATCCTCACAGAGGTGGAGCTAAAGTCTTATCATCATTGTTAACAACAATTAAAAGTTCCTGATGTTAATAATTTCTTAACCAATGAGAATCTATTCGCCATTTGGCAGGCATTTGTAGAACTGAGAATGCCATGCATTACTGAAAGTAACACAGAGCGAAAATAACCCTGTATAAATAGTTTTAAATAAGAGGATACCTTAAACGTAACATGGAACAAACAATATCTTAGAACGCATAATGCAATGCAAGTTATTATACCCATCCTAATATATAATTCCTCTTATAACTATAATAAATCATATGCAGATAATGACTTCAACACTTTCAGAGGACTGAAAACTATAAAGAGATGAATTGAATTTAAGTAATCATCTAATGTGTATTACACATATAGCTTAGCATTAAACAATGAAACTTATGGGAATCTTATTCCGTTTATAATATTTAACGATTCACATGAATAAATGTTACCCGGTATAGGCGGTATCTCAGTCTCTTAAGTCTTTGATGACATCTGCCTCTATAAGAGAATTCCTGATCTGATCAATAAATTTCTGATCTGAAATATCAGTTAATATCATGATTACAAATTATTCTTAGCAATCAAACATGATGGAAGCAAATGAATTAAAAATATAAATATTTGTAACTATACATATTCATGTGTAATACTACAGTATTATATATAATTTAAAAATCATTGAAATTATATCAAATATCGTGATAAAATAAAAGTAAAAAAAAGGACAGACAGACAGAATGGGGAAGCACATCCCGATCACTATATAACCTCCAACATTTCAAGAGGGGTCATAAATTTTACTTTATGAAACTATAACTTATTGACTGTGTGACCAGTAAAAAATAAGACTATACATGTTCAACACAAATACATCTACATGTATAGGCTCTGTAAAATATGAGTATTAATATAAATTTTGAAACCTCCTGCCCTTATCCTTGCAGCATCATACTTATTTACTACAATCTTCTCATCTGGATGTACCCCATCCGCAAATTTCACTGTGAATTCCGCATAAAATCTGAAATATGCGCAAGAAGTTAGCCAGTGCATTGGCTTACAATTATTAGAATAACACATCGAATTCAAACATTTGATTATATAGAATAAACATATAAAATTCTATTCCTTGATGAAGATTACGATATATTACATGTATATTACATTCTTCAAACTGGAATCATCTTTGAAACAGACATCCCACCCGGCCCTGGGACAAACGTGTAAATATTTGTCCAAATTAAGCACTTTATTTTTAGATTAAATAGTATAGAAAACCCTTATATGTAATATGTACGTACAATACTTAAAACGTATGATGTTTAGTTACTTACGGTACTCTTACACCCTCCATATCAGCTAGCCAAAGTAGCAGACGATGTCAAGATGTGGCAGACGAAGCACTTAAAAGTCGTTCTGAACTTTAAAAATTGTTTCAGACAGACAAAAAATGGCTAAATTTGACACATCTCCTTATACATCCACCAAACTGGAAATCTTGATCAATATACAGTCAAATACTTGCCAAAAAACACAGTAGTCGCGCTTTCATCAAACATCACACTTCCGGAAAAACCAATCGAGAAACGTCCAAACGAATTCCGGAAAAAAAATGTGTTTAGCCTTCAAATTCAATGGTAGCTCATCCTACGTAGCGGCTATGTTAGCTCTCCGTTCAAGAGCGTAGTTATACGTAGCGGCTACGTAGTAGCTACGCTGTTGAACGCACCGGGCACCTTCTCGGCACGCGCTGCATTATGACGTCATACACTGTATAAATAGAGCCTTTCTCCGACTTTCTGCTCATTCTGTTGTCAGATCCTCAGCTGTCGACATGGATCGATCTCTATCCCTTACTGAGGAATCTGAAACTGGTTCTGTTGATCAGAAAAGCGATGAATTAAACGAACAAGGAAAGTCAGATATAAAGTATGTATATCGAATTCTTCGGCCTGGCGAAAGCTTTGAGAATGGACTGTACCCCAAGAATATTCACTCGAGAATAAGTATCCAGCAACACGTGGAAAGGGGAAGCAAATGCCAAAAATCGAAGTACATTTCTTGTTGCAGAAGGCTTTGTGCCATAAAGAGGCTGGGAAAATTTACATATGACCCAAGTCAAGTAAGGGATGTACTAAGGATAACCATTAGTAGACTCCCCTTACCAAACTGATATGTTTGCTGCAGGCCTGCAGCAAGTCTGCTGCAAGCTTGCAGCAAACAAAATTGTTCGCAGGAAGAAAATTTTCTTGTTCGCAGATGATTGCCGCTAGCTGCGATCTTGCGGCAAACATTGCAGCAATTGCTGCAAGCTTGCAGCAAATTCGCAGGAACCCAACATGTTTGCAGGAACATTGCAAGAAACATACACGCCAATTAAATGTTCGCAGCAAGTTCGCAGGAAACTTTTCACTATTCAAATGTTTGCAGGAAGTTCGCAAGAACAGTAAACAAGTCAAATCAGCCAATGAAACGCAGATTGTACTGGGTCAACACAAAACTGGCCATTTTGAAATGTTGGAATTGAAGTTGTACACGTTTCAGTATTTTGTTAGGAATATACATCGTTTTGAATGATTAAAAGTACCAAACACTGGATGTAGGTGTTCATTTTATCAATGATATCTAATTGGTAAGAAATGATTTTGATTTATTTTGATATTTAAAAGAATATTTCTTAAAAGCACGTAAATGAGTAACTGGTGTAAATGCTAGGTCAAATCTAAATCTGTTACTTATGAATTTCAGTCCTCTTTTTAATATCACATATGTATACTTCTTAAAGGTATTAATGGCGGCCCCAAATCAGTTAATTGTTATCAAATTAATTAGTAAATGTGTAATCACAAAAATATTCATTAAAAATTATATACATGTAAAGTTCTTAAAGTTCTTAAAGTTCTGTTCATATAAAAAGCTACCATGCACTTTAATTTTAAAAAAGTATGAAAACTTTGTCTAGGAACGTAAAGAGGGCCTATCATAACTTCATAAAACTGCATAATTTCAGAAACATGTGGTGGATTTTCTCTAAACTTAACAGATTTAGGTCAGGACAAAGGCTTGTCCTGCTTGTACAAAGGAATGTGCCAAAACCATAAGAAAATTGTTTGCTGCAAGTTAGCAGCAATGTTTGCTGCAAGCTTGCTGCAATGTTTGCCGCAAGCTTGCAGCAATGTTTGCGGCAGGCTTGCAGCAATGTTTGCCGCAAGCTTGCAGCAAGGTTTCCTTATTTGGAAAATCGAATGTTTGCTGCAGACTTGCAGCAAACTTCATTTGCATGGTAAAATGTTTGCAGCAAGCTTGCTGCAGACTTGCCGCTAACTTGCTGCAAACACCAAGGCTTTGTATAGACTGTCGTGCTTTCTTTGGCTACATTGCCGCAAGCTTGCAGCAATGTCTGCTGTAAGCTTGCAGCAATGTTTGCTGCAGACTTGCAGCAAATATTTGCAGGAAGGCAATATTTTCGATAAGGGTCAAAAACAACACCCGAGTTATAGATCTAACTAAAGTGGAAATTCGCGAACGTCACATCGAGCGCTCCTCAAAAGCTTGGGGGTATGCTGAAAGATTCGAGGAAGTCATCTTAGAGCCAACATCTCATGTACCTCCAGAATGTGTAAAGAAAATTGGAGAAATTCATAACAAATTGTTTAGAAAAATATAAACCATGATTTAGATGTTCTTCATTTCCAAAGGAAAAATGTGGAACATATAATCAGCAATAGAAAGGGAAGATTAATTATTTCACTTCCTAATTTGATTAGAATCTACAATTTTTGTCAATCCGTGTATCTCAATTATCTTTGGAGAATGTCAAACAAAAAGTAGGTCTCAGTGACATAATTTTAACAAAATATGGCTATATCTAAATATTTCAGGTCCTGAATAGCTTAGACAAACTAATCTTTGTCATCTGGGGTACTTTTTATCTTCTTTTGTCTGTTAGATTGTTCCACTTTACGTAGAGTTATATTTGAAGTTTTTTTTATTTTGAAACAGTAAAAAAAAAAGAAATGTAAGAAGGACCAATTGAGAGGGAGAGAGAGAGAGTTTCCACTCTTTCATTACATCAATTACTAGTAGTTATGCAGGGATTTCTATTAAATGTAGTACTGGTTCTGTATAGTAGAAATATTTTATCATATCCAAGTACTGTTTTTAACAGCAAATACCGTTTTAGTTCAAAGTAAAGAAATGTATTTTTAATGACAGCAAAAGGAGGAAAATATCTTTTTACTATTTTATTGTTCTACGTTATACTGTTTATTAATGAAATATAAATAAAATATTCGATCATATGTACACATATTATGTATATGTAAGAATGTTATATCGAATGCAAAATTTATTAAAATAAATTATATAATCGGTAGCATTGGCGTCGGAAGCAAATTGAAAGTGGGGGGCTAAGTGTAAAAAAAAATTTTTTTGTAACTCCGAAAAAACCTGACAAAAAAAAAAGGGGGGGGGGGGGAAATGTCTAAATGTCTATTTCCAAAACACCAAAACACGAAATAGGATTTCGTGGGGGGGGGGGTGTTCAAACTCCAGTACCAAAAATTTTCTTCCAATACCACCACTTTATTCATTTTTAACCTATACTAAGACGTATCTGTGGAAAGTGGGGGGGGGGGGGGGCTAAACTTACGAAGATATGTTCAATGTCTATACTAAGTATATATTTGGAAAAAAAGTGGGGGGGGGGGGGTTAAGCCCCCCCCCCCCCCCCCCTAGCCCCCCGGTTCCGACGCCTATGGGTAGTACTTGTATGCTAAATTATTAACATAACGCTTTTTGGTGTAACAGTTTTTAGTGTATGGAATGTGATTATATAAAACATATAGTGTCAGATTTGTACGCCATATAATATGTCATTCCATATTAATCACCAAAGTTAAGAATTTTGAAAATTAGTGCAAGCAAGGTCAAGGGGAAAAAAATTATAGTGTGCTCAAAAACATCATGTACTTACATTCAACGTACATGTCAAATATTAAAGTTCCATCTCTCTGTCAAACGTAATAAGGAAAGATACCATTTTGGAAAAGTAGGTAAAATTCCAAGGCCAAGTCACGTGGTTAAAAAACAGTGTATTTACAAAGTTCTTGTCACAGTGAAAGTTCTATCAATTCGCTTTCAAATTTATGACCAAGGCCAGGTTTAATTAGTTTCTGAAAAGTGTACCAACCTTCAAGGTCAAAGTTATGGGGTCTAAAATCATGGTATACATGTATTTAGAAAGGTCTTGTGACAGGTAATACACATGTGTAGTATGAAATCATGAAAAAAAATTATTATTATTTATTCTCTTGAAAAGAGTGGACATGCAGGCTTTCGCCCGAAAGCCCAATATCTCTTCTCTAAGGAGAATATACAGTTTTCTTTCTTTTCTTTACTTTTGCTTTGTCGGTTTTATATTAATTAATTTATTAACATTAATTTACTTTTCATAATTTTTTTAGCCTCTCCGCTCCCTTTTGCCTTGATAATGTTGCTACTTGGTCAAGTTTTCATATCGGGATCGACCTTTCATAAATTAATTGTGAACTTTCATTCCGAGTTTTCTCAGGTTTTGTTAGAAAACACATGGCTAGCAGATTCAGACCGACTTATGGCCTAAATATTGTTAACAGTAATCGTAATCAGTCTTAATGTTGTGTGACAAAGACTCCATTGATTCTATTCAGCAGTACATCAACAAGCTGACGGAATTTCTCTCTCTGTATACTTGGATTGTTGACGCCTATGTATCGGTAAACACCGCTTTAACTTTTTAGCTCACCTGAGCCGAAGGCTCAAGTGAGCTTTTCTGATCAAAATTTGTCCGTTGTCTGTCGTCGTCGTTGTCGTTGTTGTCGTTGTCGTCGTCGTAAACTTTTCACATTTTCATCTTCTACTCAAGAACCACTGGGCCAATTTCAACCAAACTTGGCACAAAGTATCCTTGGGTGAAGGGGATTCAAGTTTGTTCAAATGAAGGGCCATGCCCTTTTTCAAGGGGAGATAATCATGAATTTGTTAAAAATTAATGGCATTTTTAGAAAATCTTCTTCTCCAGAACCGCTGGGCCAGGAAAGATGAAACTCATATGAAAGCATCCTCAGGTAGTGTAGATTCAAGTTTGTTCAAATCATGCCCCCCGGGGCAAGGGTGGGGCCAAAATGGCCGACCCAAGTTTTACATAGCAGAGTTTCCGAAAACCAAATATTTCTATCAGTCATTTGGACTGATGGCTTAATGCGTTCTACCAGTCCGAAGCATATTCTATCAGTCCGAATAAAATATACAGTGTATATTTAATGTCAGATGTAATTCAAAAGAAAATGGCATTGAATATGTAAAGATTTTTGTGGTTCACCAACACTGATCGATTGAGATACCAGGGTTATGCAACGATAAATAATTCAAGCATTGCACCAGCCCACACAGGCTTGTGGAGCAATAAAGTTTATAACTAGCCCCAAGTAAATGT